GGCGTCCACCGCCGCGCCGCCAACCGTGCTTGCCTTCGCCGCGTAGGCACTTCAGCAGCGAGGAGGCGATGGTGGGGAACCTCGAGGCGCGAGCGCTGCCTCTGTCAATGGAATACAGTCCCGCCCTGTCATACCCCCCCCCCCCCGCAACCTCGAGGCGTGCGGCTACCCGCGCGAGCAAGCCCGCTGGGCGCTGTCCCACTGCCAGGGCAGCCCGCGCGCGAGGCTGAACGGCGCGCTCGATTTGCTGCTCGACGGCGGTGAAAGCGGCGGAAGGAGCGGCAGCGGCGGCGGCTCGGCCGGCACGCCGGTCTCGCCCGCCAAGCGGCCGCTGGAGCTGGACTGATGCTGCGCCGCCGGGCCTTGGCTGCACGGTATTGTGGCAAAACGCCCCGGTCGTTTGTCTCCAAGTCTTGTCCTTTCTTGCGCGGGAGATCGCGCCTCCAACGCCGGCAGAGGCGAGAGATATGGGGACACTGTATGGCTGTAGAGGGAGATATGGGGAGATAGATCGCGCCTCCACGATCTTCCCGCCAAGAAAAAGCCCTGGAGTACTTGTCCAGCAGCGTTCGCGCGTGCAATGCGTCACCGTTGATTGTGTACGCGTAAGTACGTCAGTAATCACACGAAAATTTGCTACCCTACACGTCAGCCTGAGCGCCCCTTGCCCCACCACTTCTTGTGTGTGTGGAGACGTTTACCTTACCTTACCTTACCTTAGCCTGAGCGCCCGGGGTGACGCCGCCGCCCGCTCTCTCTACCCCACGGGCTCGTTGGCCAGTCCTTCTCGTCGTCGGCGCCGCAGTGGGGCAAGAAGGACCTGTATCCACTCGCCGGTTCGTTCAAGACTTCTGCCATGGCAGAGGGTGCGATCGAGGGCAGCGCGTCCAACTACGAAGTGGCCGGGCCTTACTCCACCACCTTCACGTTTTCTCGCTACGACGGCAAGGAGGCGAAGACGCCGCAGCCGGACCTGGTCGCGCCGGTCGACGCCTCGTCCGTGGATGAAACGGACAGCTAAGCCAGCTCTCCTTGGCTGCGCTCGCCATTTTGGTCCTGTGCGCGAGATCTTGCTCGCTCGCTATCACCGCGCCCACGAGAGAGTGGCGAGGCATGCAAAAACAAGTAAGTGGATGGTATTTACAGAGTCGGCACGGCATTGTGGGGTTCTTGGCTCGTTCCTCCCATCTTTTTACCGCGCCATACACAAGTACAGACACTGACACATGCACATGCCACATCTCGAGTGCGGGGGGGGGGGGGTGCGTGGCCCTCACAAATGTGGCTTCACCCCGCCGGGGAAATGTGGCACCTGGGCCGAGCGAATATAACAGAACTCGTATCGCATGAATTGCGTATACCGTGCCATCCTTGATGTGGTTCTTGGACAAGCCCCCTCCGCCCCTGCACTTCCCTCAAAACGGCCAGCTGCACGGCCAGAACGGCAGGCGGGAGTCGCAAGACTTGTTTGAGCGGCAAGTGTCGATGGTTGGGAAGATGATGTTGAAGGACATCAACGGCACGCCAACGTACATCGACCTGCGAGCACGTGAGGCGCAGCGCTTTGCGTGCGAGCAGGCCACCATAGAGAGGAGGGGCAAGCGGGCGCAGCGCCGGGCGCGCAGAGCCGGGCGCGCGCGCGGAGGCGCGCACTTGACGAGGAGCTGCGACGGCAGCGGCTTGTTGAGGTGCGTGAGTGTCGACCGGAGGAAGTCGTCCTTGGCTCGCTGGTTGGCAGAAGGCGGCGGCACCGGCGTGTACCAGCCGTCTGGCACGTGAGCCCAAGGCCCGTAGTAGCGTCCCTCGTCGATGCCGCGAAGGCACGCCTCGAGGCTGGGGGTGCCGCGCACAGGCTCGAACAGCGTCGCGTTGAGCTTCGCGAGCTCGGCGGCGAGATCATACGCCAGGTCGGCATGCCGCGGCGACAGGTCGACGTGCTCTGTGGGGTCGTCCTCAAGCTGACACCACGAGCGGAGCGAGGCGGGGTCAAGCCAAGGGTCAAGCCCAGTGCGCACGCGCGGGTGGTGGACTATGCGAGCGGCGCGCACGCACATTGAAGAGGCAGCCAGGCTCGTACCCGCAATCAAACACCCACGTCAGGCTGTCCTGCACCCTCGGCGGCCCATACGGGATTTTCACCTCGAGGATGCGCACGTCGCCTAAAATAGTAGTCGGCACCTTCGGCACGGTGTACGAGGCGGCCGAGCACGAGCAGAAGCTGGGCACTGTGCTCGGGGCCGCGACTCTTGGTGGCCGACTTTGACGTGCTGCAGTTGGGGTACCGCGGCGATGTCCACGTGCCAAATTCCTGCGTGCCCGTGACGAGCTTGTACGGCCAGCGCAGGATGGCGTTCGGCGATAGGTGGAGCGCGTCCGTGCGAGCGCTTGTGTCGTCGAGTATGGCCGCAAGGAGGTCGCGCCCATCAACAGCCGGCAGGCCGGCGGCGGCCGCGGCAATGTCGGTGGCATCCACACCCGCGAGGCCGCATAATATAGAGTACCAATCGGCGATGTGCACGACGCCGCCGTACTCCGAGCCTCGCCGAGCCTCGGGGAGCCAGCCGCCGCTGAGGAAGGCGTTTGCGTTGACGCCACCTTGGAAGTCAGAATACTTGCCACCGCGCAGCGGAAAGTTGTTGGCAGCTCCGGGCTCGTAAATCGGGCCTCCGTTGTCGGACATGAAGACCGTCAGCGTGTTCTCCCACATCCCACGCGAGCGGAACGCGTCGACTAGCTCGCCGACGGCCTCATCCATGTACAGTACCATCGCCGCGTAGAGGCGCCGGTTGTCCGTGTCGAACGGAGGGGCGCCCGCGGCGGCGACGATGGCGTCGATGCGGCTCAAGTAAGAGGGAGGCACTTGGAGCGGCGTGTGCAGAAGGTGGAACGAGTAGAAGAGGAAGAGCGGCGCTGAAAGGTCGTGAGCAGCCACAACGGCGAGCATCTGCTCCTTGAATACGTCTTCCTCGTACGTGGCTCTGGAGAGGTAGCGAGTGTCACGCACGCCGCCGCGAAAGGTTGCGTTCAGCAGGCTCAGGTCGCGGAATTCGTTGCCTTCCAGAGGCTCCCCTGTCAGCGGGTTCTTCATTTGAAGGAAGGAGACGTCATTGATGCAGTTGTCGATCATGCCAGTGGAGTAGATGTCCGTCTGCTTGGACCAGTACTCGTTTGCGTGCTGATAGTAGCCGAGCCAACTGTCGTAGCCGCGGCCAAGCGGCGTGTGCTCAGGCGTGGCCATCCCAACATCCCACTTGCCAACCGCGTGAGTCTTGTAGCCAGCAGCTCGTGCAGCGAGTGTGTGGTCAAGCGTGGGAGCGGCGCGCGAGCACCGAATTTTTTTGCTGTGCGAGTCGAGTTCGTGGCCGGTGCGCGGGAAACTCGCCGAAAACCCGCGCAGCCGGCCGATTGTACGACCGAGGTCGCTGATTGTACGACCGAGGTCGCAGAGCCTTGGCGACGCGACGCGCACGTCGCCAAGGAGTTCGTAAAATGTCAGAGTTTTTTTCTCCTTTTCATGCTTCAAGGCAACCAACCAACACACACACACACACACACACACACACACACACACACACACACACACACACACACACACACACACACACACACACACACACACACACACACACACACACACACACACACACACACACACACACACACACACACACACACACACACGCACACACACACACACACACACACACACACACACACGCACACCAGCAGGCGATTTCTTCTTTCCGCACAAGGCCCTTCGATACTGGCTGTCTCAGGTAGGTGAGCTGCTGGCTCGGTGCCGCGGGCGTGGCGCCCTCTTGCCGAACCAACTCTCTTCGAATCAGGGCCGACACCAACCTCCATGCTGTGGCTGCTTCTCGGATCACGCCGCACTGGCACTGGCTCGTCACTCCGCGCGCCAGTCGCGGTTGCGGCAGCAACAAGTCCGCTGCGAGCCGTCCTCACCACAGAGTGGCAGCTTGGCGAGTCGAGCGAGGCCGGAGTCAGCGTGCAGCGGCTCTACGACCTGATCCAACCACCGGACGAGGACGCCTTCTTCGACGAGATCGACGCTCTCGAGGAGGAGGGATGGCTGACGATCCGCAACGGCAGTGGCGACGACGACGACCTCCTCTTCCCCGTGGAGGACGGCAGCCTCCCTGCGCCGGAGCCTGCCGGTCGTGCAGCGGCGGCGACGGCCGCCTCCATCTTTGCCGGCACGGCCGAGCAGGCAAGGCTCGCCGCAGAGGCTGCGGCCGCCACTGCCGCGGCGGCAGTGACCGCCGCCGCCGCCGCCGAGAGCGCGAGCCCGCCCGCGGTGCCGTTTGACCTGGAGCGGCACGGCGAGTACGACTACGCCGCGGAGGCGGCGGCGGTCGAGGCTGTGGTGGCTGTGCTGACGCGGCTTAAGTGCGCCGGCATGGATGCGGCAGACCAGAAGCAGCGGCGCTACTGCCGGACTCGTCAGTACCCTTGTGCGAGGCACCCGTTCATCACTTAGGCGGGGCACACGCAGCGGCGCTACTGACGGCCCCGCCACGCGTTGAGAGAGGACCTCTTCTTCACTCAGGCGGACGAGAAGGAGATCGCGGCGCTGGACGCAGCCTGCGCGCGCCTGGAGCAGGTGACGGCGCTGTCGCCTGCTCCTTCGCTGCGCGAGGCCCCTCGGCCGTGAGAGGGGCGTGGGAGGCGGCGGGAGCCTTCTTCTCCGGGACCCTGCCCCGGAGCGCTTCTGTAGGACCCGCGGCTCGAGGGCGCGTGGGAGCAGGCGTGTGTCGACTTTGCTGCTTACCCTTGGGGCACACACACACCCACGCGCACTGGGCCTTGCACTTTCAATGCCGTGCGGCTCCTGTCGCCTAGACGTGGAGACGCGAGGGTCGCCCCCCCTTCCCCCTCCACCTCGTGTGTGTGTGTAGAGAAGTGTACCTTACCTTACCTTACCTTACCCTTGGGGCTCGGTTCGCAAGCTGCGGGCGCCTGGGAGCAGGTGGGCTGCACTTCGGCCGACTTCAACACGCGCAAGGGGCTGACGGGCTTGGGCGGCGCGCCCTTCACCTCGCCGGCCGCGCTCTTCTACTGCTACGACGGCGGCGCGGTCTGCGCTAAGGAGGTGCTGCGCCTGTTCGGGCGGCCGGTGCTGCTCAACGAGCTGCGCGGCGAGATTACCCGAGATTACGCGAGATTACCCGAGATTAGGCGGCCGGTGCTGCTCAACGAGCTGCGCGGCGAGTACGGCTTCTCTCCCGACGGGGCCCTGATGCAGGAGCGGCGATGCCGAGATTACCCGAGAGTACCGGAGATTACCCGAGATTCTCTCCCGACGGGGGCGTTGATGCAGGAGCGGTTCGGCGACGCAGACCTCGGAGGCCAGCGCAGCTCCAAGGAGTTTGCCGGCGCGACGGCGACGACGAGGCCCATCTCCATCACGGGCGACGTCGCTTCTCTCCATTGTGAACGAGCTCTATCGACCATTAGGCACGTCTGCATCACCGCCGACGGCGCGGTGCGAGTCGCAAAGGTTTACGCTGCGGACGCAAAGCGCGCCTCTCCTCTTCGCGGAGGCTTCCCGGACGCTGCCCGGAACCTTCACTGCAGGTGGACGCGGCGGCCGGCGTCGGCGCGGGAGGCTACCTAGTGTACAAGCGGCTGGCGGCCGGGGAGATGGAGGCGTGGCTCGAGAGCAAGCGGCTTCCGCTCGTTGGCGGGACGGTCCCCACGCTGTCGATGGAGGAGATGCGCGAGGCGTACCCGTACCTCGGGGAGGGGGAGGGGGCGGGCGGCGACGGCTTCGCGGGCATCAAGCTGCCGTGGTCGTAGAGGACGCGGCTGCCTCGGCGCCAGGCCCCTCACTGTCGTCCGTGTGTGCAGGGCCGTGCGACATGCACACATTTCATGCACATGCTGCATGCACATGAACATGTGAACATGTTGCATGTGCATGTGCTGTGCATGTGGGGGGGCATGGGCCTGTAAATGTGCATCCACGTGGGGCTGGTCCCGGTTCCCGTTTTCCTCCCCATGCACATGCACATGCACATGCACATGCACAGTTGTGCACAGGTGCCTTACCTTATACCTTACCTTTTCCGCTTTCCCCCCCGCTTTCCCCCAGGGAGGGCATTACCTTTACCTTACCTTACAGCCTACCGACGTGTGCGTGTGGGTGTGCATGTGCGCGCGCGGGTGAGGAGGGGTGGCCTCTCAGAAGAGATCCTGCGCGGTGTTGATTCCTCTTTTCCGCCCCCCCCCCCCCCCCTACTCATGTTGACCGCAGTTCACTTGGAGCACTTGGAGTGCAGTCGGTAACCTCACATCCAGGGCCGGTGAGCTGAGAAGCGCATCCAGCGGGCCGGATGATCGGTATCGGGTTACGGGCTAGAGAGCCCTAGCCCCGGGGGTGCGTGTTCGCAGGGCAAGGGCTGTAAAGTAAACACGGGTCTCGTTCTTTTTTTTGTTTTTTTGGGTTTTTTTTATCCGCGTGAAGCCATCGGGTGCCATCGGGCACTCCGCCAAAGTGCAACGAGAAGCAACAGCCAAAGTGATTTGGAGCAATGTCGCTCGTGGTCACTGTCAGTGCCGCACTGTGGTCGTGGTCGTCTGACTCGCACCCTGCGCCGCCGTCCGCGGCCGGCCCGCCAGAGAGAGACGGGCGGTCGCCTGGCCCTCGCCTCGCTCCTCCGCCGCTTGGCCCCTACCAAGTCAGGCAGGCGAAGTTTCAGGTCGAGTCGCTCGACTTCACTGGTCCGAACATCGACGTCGTCATCCCGGTCGGCGCACCCGACGAGCGCTTCCCTTACATCGCCTTTGCGCATGGCTTTGGCGACGACGTGGGATGGGATCAGCACGGCGGTGTCGAGGACTACGCAGATTTCGGACCAGCCCTCGCATCATACGGGTTCGTGGTCGGCTTTGCCCGCTCCTGCATCATCGGCTGCATCTCCGACTGCAAGTCTCTGCCGTGGGACCCGCCCTGCTTTGGAGACTTTTACAAGCAGCAGCTGCTCAACCTCGAGTGGGCCTCGCGGAGCAGCGACGCCATGGCCCTGCCGATAAACCGCTCTGCAGGGTACGGTGTGGTTGGGCACTCGATGGGAGGCCAGGCGACAGCGTTCAGCGCGGCGCGCAACTCCTCCTCCCACAACATAAGCGCGGCCGTCCTGCTACACCCCTTCACGCACACCTACCCCGCGCTGCGCGTGCCGTTCCTCGTCTTTACTGGCACGGCGGAGGACACGGCGCCGCCGGCGTGGTCCAAGGCGCTGTTCGACGCGCCGGGCGCCTGGCCCGTCCGGGGCCTGGTCAACAAGGTGGGCGCCACGCACCACGAGCCCCAGAGCGGCACGGACTACAACCCAAGGCTAGCCTACTTTGCAGCCGCCTGGCTCAAGCTCTACCTGACGCGCACTCCGCGCGGAAGCGGGCTCGACTTTGAGGCGGCGATCTTTGGCAACTCGACGGGCAGCCTCTGCGGCGGCGGCGACGGCAAGGTGCTGGACTGCGAGCTTCGACGTGGGTGAACGAGCTGCCCTCAGAATGATTGATAACCCCTCCATCATGTGGAGGTAAGACAAGGGAGAAAGCGGAGAAAACACGCCAGGGCGCGCTTGCGGAGAGGGCGTTGTAGGCGATCGCCGCAGTGTATCCAATGAGACAAAACAAACTCGATCGTAAGTCGCATGCTCTCTCACATAAAAGAGTATTGGCCGCCAGATGGCCCCACTGTCAGGGAGCCTCTGCCAGAGGCCCACCCCAGCCCCACTCCGCGCACTGCCGCACTGGCTCGAAGTCGAACCTCAGAGCGTTCCATTTCACTGTGAACTACAGCGCCGCCACGACTACTACATTTCCAGCGCCAAGTACGTGTACGACGCCAAGGAGGCGGCTAGTGAGACAGTCACCATCGGTATGCGGGAGGGCGACCAGCTTGCAAACGGATCGAAGGACATTCCGTGCGAGCACAACATTCGTCACAACGGCACCGTGTATGCGGCGGCCAACATGGGAGAGATTTTTAGCAATATCAAACAACTCTAACAACATGGTCCGTGCACGAGCCTGCGGCAAGCTCGTGCTCGGTGACAAGGCGAACCCTCAGAAGACGACTTTTCATCTCAACGAGGGGCACGTCACCGACATGTACATGTGTGAGATCGGCGGGGACCTGCAGTCCCAGCGCGATGTCCACTACGAAGTCAAGGTGCCCAGAGCGCCCTCACAAAGACGAGGCAGGCTGGACAGGGCTCGGCAGCACACGGCGGATGCTGTGCGTCACTGGGCCACAAATTTGGTTTCGGCAGCACCCTCGACCAAACCTTGCTCAAGGTTCTTGGGTGCAAAGAGCGCGGCCACAAGTCACAGGGCCCGCTTGTCCATGCGACCGGCAAAGGCTGGGTCAAAGAGCACAAGGGACAGTACTACGACGCGCTCCATGTCAAGAACGGAATCGTCAGGGAAGGACACACCTTCTGGCTCGGACGGCTACCACACGATGGACAACAAAGAAAACGAGCGGGGTGAGTCTCTGCTCGTTCTCTTATCCATCTGTGAGTTGGGACGGCCGCATCCGACCGACCCGCGTCGCTTGCAGCCAGGCTGTTGGAGCCTCCTCTGCGCCGCAGCACTCGCCTGCAGCCGCAGTTGCGTGCGGCATGCGTGCGTCGAAGGCGGCGGCGCTGCTGCTCGGCTCCCTCGGCTGCGCTGCCGGTGCAACCGCACCCTCCCTCAGGCGTCACTTGGCCCGCAGCTCTCTCTCACCTGGACCCCCCGCCCCTTGCAGCATGCGACGACCCCCCTTGCTTTGAGCCGACGATCCTCAACTCTGCGCAGCGGATCCGCGTCAAGTGGACGATCGATTCGCCGCCAGGCAAGTACCACATCGCCGTGGACCAAACGATGGACTCGTCGTCGTGGCTTCGCATCCGGCAGGACACCGCAGTCGATCCCTCGACCGATGTCTTCGAATTTGACATGGACGGCGGCGCGACGGCGCTGCTCTTCCTCTTTGCAGTCAGCGAGAGCGACA